TGTTAATTGATTAATTGCTTTTTAAGAAAAAATTCCAAGTTCACATTCACACCATTTTCTGACATTTTATGGACCCAATAACTAATCAATTAATCGGGGTAATAATGAACAGATTAATCGATAATGAAATTCACTTGAGGTGATGCGACACACACACGAAACATGGTCAACATGGATCCAAAAAAACGTTCCCTTGACAGCTTCCCTTTGTTTTCAATAAAACATAAAGCAGAGACATTATGAGAGGATTCATTAAAGTGACATACCACAGGATAATTCACACCCTTGTGTTTAATTCCACCTCTAACAACTCAAAAAGTTTAAAGGGCATTTTAGAATGTAAATTACATTCTTGGTGTAACCGGGGACAATCTTGTAGGGATCTTCTTTCCTGATGTTGGGATGAATGGGATTGTTTCCCTGGGGCAGTATATTTTTGTAGTGGGGTCAGCAACTCATATCAACAAACGTACACATTATTAACATATTATTGGGGTTTGAAAGACATTTGAAAGACAAAAGACTTTGACAGCAATGTATGCTGGGAGTGTGCGCTGCTGTCTGCCACAGTGTCTTTTATGATAATACCAAAAGGAGGTGCCTGAGTGAGAAATACATTGTGGCTTTAAAATGTGAAAAAGTTCCATTATCTTTGCAGACTAATGTAGTGGAGACATTTCAGATCAATTTGCACTTAGAACTGCATTATGTACCACACAGAAATAACATCCACTCTGTTGACAGTTAAAGGTAACGTCATGTTCACTCTCATAGATTCATCTAAATGATGCAAGTTGTAAGTTGATTTTGATAACGTGGTGCACTGAATGGAAGCTATTAGCTGTCTGAAAGTCAGAGAAAACACACTGAAAAATCTGAAACACTGCAGCATGCTTTGACAATGGGGTGCAATAATGTAAAGGAAAGGTGATTTATAGTAAGATACATGAAAACAATGCTGATCCAATCCTTCAAATAACAGGACAATCAGTATCAGTCTGGGTCTGTCACACAGTAAGCCTGACATATATATCAGATTATAAATGGATAGATTTTAAATTCATATTAGGCCAAAAGGTTTAAGTTTTATAGTCTTTAACACCAGATTAATGCTTAGTGATGCAAAGATAAATGATGTCCTAACTGCTGCCTACATTGAGTGTAAGTATTGATTCGATTGTTGCTGATGAACTAATACTCGTGTCTCCTTGCTGTGCCTGCAGTCGATGCAGTCTTCCAGAGGCTCTCCCTCCCTGTGGCTGAGAAACCAGCAGCAGCAGCATCAGCAGCAGCAGCAGCATGTCCCGCGTCTCCTCAACCGCCAAGCGCTACGCTGGCCCCTCCTACACCAGCCACTACAGCTCCTACAGCTCCTCCCTGACCCCGGGCCTTAGCTCCTACAGCGACCGGGACAGGCTGTCCTCCTACAAGTCCCCCACGTCCTCCTCCTCCACCTCTTCCTCAGGTTACTCCTCGTCCAGCTATTTGAGCAGCTCTGCCGCCCGCAGCCGCAACTACAGCACCTCCTCAGACCCCGACCGCGACCGGGGCCGAACCATCCCACGCACCGACATCCTAGGAAGCAGCAGCAGCAGCAGCAGCCGCCGGAGCGAGAGCCTCAGCAGGACCCCCGTCAAGAGCTATGGAGGGTCGGGGCTGAGTGGGGGGTCAGCCTACACTGGCTACAGTTCCTACTCTTCGTCCTCGGCGCAGTCTAGCTACCTCTCCTCTTCATCGGTGGCCTCCAGCATCTCGCTCAACCGACGAAAATCTGTATCCCAGAGTGACTTGAGCAGGGACCTGGCCTCTCTGGGCCTCAATGACACCTCCTCCTCCTCTTCCTCCACCCCGTCTTCTTCCACCAGTGCCCTGCGGAGCTACCGCAGTCGGGCCAGCGATGTGGCCAACTCGTACGGCACTAGCTCCCGCCCGGGATACTCAGGCCTGTCGCGGAGCTCTACTCAGGAGGCCCTCTCGCGGAGCTCCACCCAGGAGGCCTTCAGCAGCAGCAGCAGCAGCAGCGGCAGCAGAGCATACAGCTCTTCGACATGGGAGCCAAGCAGTAACAGGCTGTCCGACTCCCCCACCAGGGACTCCACGGTAAGAGAATGTCCTCTGTTCTTGCACATGCTGGCTTGAAGCTTGCTGCTTTTATTGGAGGATGTTACTGCTCCAGAGGGATCGATATCCAGGGGCTGAGTAAGGCTGAATGGAGTCATAGCTGCAGTCATTACCACAGAGGCACACTAGCTTTAATCTCTTTAGTTTCTTACTCATGGTAAAGCCCCACAATGCTTTGTGGCTTCCTATAGTACTGTTTTTTACCAAATGGGGGCACTATTGCTTAAATTAATTTCAATGCACTTGAAGTCCTGGATTACAATAATATAGCAGACATTACACCCTCTCACGTGCCTTTAACATGCTCCTTAGTAGACTGTTTAAGCTATTCAATAAAAATAAAAAACAGCATATACAACATAATAACAAACCTATCATATGCAAACCGGAGGTCATTATTCCAGCGTACGTGAGTAGTTCCAGTGTGACAAATGAGCTCTTAGCATGGACACCTGACCCCCTCTAACCCAGCAGTTAGCTGACATTTCTCAGATGGTGGTTTAGTTGGCTATGATGAGCTGGGTCTTCAGGCCACTCATCATCTCTGAGATCAGTTTAGTGACCCGAGCTTCCCCTATGCAGGTCAGAAACCACAGCTGACCCACTTCCCCTCAGGATTAATCCCCATAACCGGTTACATGAGTGGAGGGGGTGGGGAGAGTGAAGGAGTGGAATCAGGGAGAATTTCTGGTAAATCTTTACTTGATAGTGATTTTCTTTTTCTTATAACAAGAAATAAATATTTCTTAAAATATCATTTGTAAACATAGGGTCAAACCCACTTTAATATTTCAATTTAATATTATATTGAATGGGGCATAAAACAGTTCATTACACTACACTCTAGTGAATCAGAACGCTTTATGAATACCACTTTAGTTATTATTGGCCACCTCTCCTTGGGCTCATTAATATGTGTTTGTGTCAGACTGAAGTGATGAGCCTCCACTAACTTATTCACAGTCCTCTAACAACTACTCTTTATTATGGATCACTACAATAAAAGGAAGGGCCATTCGATTAGTGCGTTGACAAAAAGTTTATATCTTTATAATCAATTCATACCCAATATGTGCTTGTCTCTGAAATTCTGCTGATTCTCTTTCTTTTATATCACTGTAAATGAAATGTAACCATTTAAAGTTGTCACCTTTGGCTCTGGTAAAATACATTATTTTCTGACATTACATAAATAAAATAACTAATAAATAGTCAAAATAATGAGCAGATTGATAAAGAAATGAATTGTTGGTTGCAGCCATAAACAACCACATCAAAAGCTAATCAGTCAACATGCAACAGAGATTCAATTGATTCAATCTGTCACAATTTCAACCAAAGTCAAACATTATAAAGTTTCCGTTGTATTGTAAAGGCCGTTCTGTGTCCAGCCCATGTATGCCTCAATATATGTTGTTTTTTGCCACATTATACACAATGTTAGGTCATTTGAATGGTAACATTCAAAAAAAGAGGTGTTTTCACTTATTCTGGCTGATTAGACGTCTGCTCAGGTTGAAAGTGGGTGCCATTATACTGGGATTATATGAGGTCACTGGACACCATGTAATCAGAGTGTCTGTACACACCCACACAGCCAAATTCATTAAAATGACCTGTGTGTGTTTACCATGGGTGTGCAGGGCCAGCAATCTGAAATTGTTGCATTATTAATACACAAAAAGTGTTCATGTTGGATGATGTGTGTTGTTATTCTCAGGACACAAATGACTCTAGCATATCAAATAAGGGAGGTTTAACAATATTAACTAACCGGTCTCATGGTGGGGCTGCCTGCTGTTATAATGAGGTATACTGGGAAAAAATCAACCCAGATGTACATTTTGTAATCAGTCAGGTGCTTGTTTTATCTCAAGTGTCCATTCAGAAACAGATTAATGTGACCTAACACAACCTACACATTACAGAATCATCGGCTCTCCTGATTCAAAGATGAAGATATCTTCATCATGAGACTACTGAGGGGGGCTGTACTAAAACTAAGATCTGAACACTGCATGAAAGAATTCATTGTTGCTTGAAAAAAAAAAAAAATTTTTTATTGTACTATGAGCCTGTAGTTCCCAACTGTGAAGCACAAAGAGACTGTTTGTGGGGGCCATGGGCAATGAGCTAACATCCGTGTATCAATATCAGGTCAGTAACTCAGCATCATCAAGTATAGCTGACCCTTTCCTGCAGTGGAAATCGGCAAGCTTGAACTTGACTTCTATCCTCGTTTAACCTATCAAGTAATCAACACCTATCCATCATGCACGGACTGAGAAGTAGAGGGCTTTAACTGGATGTCACCAGCTGGGCTGTTTGTACTGTTAATTAACCCCAGGCCTCACGTTGAAAATCACCCTCTTCCCCCAGGGAAGCACATTGTACAGCAAAGTCTGCAGACACCAGCCTCAGTGAGCATTCTGAGTTTCATATTGCATTATGTTTTCACAATGGTGATGTGCAGTACTGAGACATTTAGACAGCTGAAGCAAGACTGTAACTTTTGCTAAACAGCAACCACTGTGGCCACAAGTGACGGCTGACTCAGTTAGGTCCTTTCTACAGGAATATCTGTCCATGGTTAGCTAACATTAGCCCCCATAAGCTCCTGGTCATACCAGAACGAGTGGGCTGTATCGGTAAAAGTGTGCCTTTTTATGAACTCACCTTCTTGCTTGTAAGAGTAAAACGACTCACATTTGATGATTATCTGTCATTATCTTATACATTTTATAGACTAAACAATGAATGCTCCAATCAGAACAGTAATCGATGGATTCTTCAGCAGAGAAAATAATCATTAGCAGTACATAAACTCTATTCATTAGTCAGCAGTTCTTTACTTATCAGCAAACATACCTCCAAGCAAGAGAATGACATGTGTCAAAGATGTGTGTGTGGGTGTGTGTTCATGTTGGCTGAGACATTTTGGGGGAAGCGTCAGGAATGATCTCATGACTGATGAGTGTCAGAACGACAGCTCTTATGAGCACTTAGTGACGTCTCCTCAGGTCACATTAGGTCAGATGCTGCTTTGTTGTTGTGTCCTTCAGGGAGACGAGAGGAGGGAATCTTTCTTTAATTGATACTGACTGAAAGAACTCACCATCAACCCAGCAATCATTTTAGCATATATTTAGAAATGCTTATTATTTGGGCTGCAACTACCTAAGTGTATTTATTATTTTCTTGATCAAACAATGAATAGTGTTGTCTATAAAGTGCCAGCAAATAAAATAAAAGCTCATCTCAAGTTGCCAGGGCCCATGGTGACGTATTCAAGTGAATAAATAAAATATATTTACCTTTGACAAACTAAAACCATCAATTTTGCAATATTACACTACTACTATAGTTCTTAGTTAAAGATGCACTCATGAATTCAACATTTCAAGGTATTAAAATGTTGATGTTTGATATCTGTATCAGTGACATTCTAAGATGGTGTGTATTAAGCTGTCTCTATATATCTATGTCCCACTTCTTGACACAATGTTACCCCATAATATTTTGGCACAGATGTTGAAATGCAAAAAATGCACAGCTAAAATAATATGATCAAACTGGGAGGTGGGCCTCCTCGGGGCCTCCAAAGTGTTTCAGAGAAGGCTCAGTGAATGATTTTGTTAAAGAGAAAGTTCAAAAATACATTCGTTTTGTAGAATTTGACTGTTTTCCCACTTATCCAGAGTCAGAATATACTAATACACTAATACCTTTTTTATTTGCTGTAGTCTTAGTTATGTCAAACAGCAGTATTAGACCTGATCTTGGCTCAATTGTTAAGTGTCTGTTGGATCAAACAGTAGAATCATGATCCCATAGGCCTCCAGGAATTGATCCAAATGAAGTAGACTTTAGAAGTAAACTTACAAGCTTCTTCTGAGGAGAGGTCTCAGTCTCAGTCTTTGGAAAACTCTGATCTACACAGTTAAATTACTCCATAGACATTGAAATGTCTTTCCATAACCAGTGCCTCTACTACTCGTTGGTCTTGTTTGGTATATGAACAGTTTGGGCTATATATCCCTCAACCCCAGTGTGATGGGCTCTTGCCTCCCAGTTGCTCCCTGTTTTCCCATGATAATAATCACCTCCTCATTGTCCTCCCAACGTTTGATTCAACACAGCGTTAGTTTGATTGTTGATAGAGTTGCCAAATATGTTAGACAAGCATTCTCCACTTCTCCCTCCACATACTCTATTCTTCTCACCAAGCTCAACATTTACAGTGTGACCTCAATTTGAATTTGGTTGCTGTTCTAGTTTTTCCAGTTTCCCAGTATCCAGTGAACGTGATAATACCAGTCGTACAGAATGACCAGACTTCAATTAACACTAGTTCTCTGTTACAACTAGTTCATATTACAGCACTGGTTGTTGTAATATGAATGTTTGAACTCACTTATGAGGCTGTTGAAGGGTGTCTCGAAATAGCGTTATTATTAAACCCAGTCCCAGCTTACAACACAAAAATAGCAGCTGCTGGTGCCACATGGTCCTGTTCATCTTGTGCCATGTTTATGAGTAAGGCAAGCTGGTTAACATGACTATTGTTCTTGTTTTCCCTGTTTCTCATGCATGATATTCAAATCAGACCAGGACACTTATGAGAAAAAAACACATGATGTAAGCATTTCTATTATTTTAGAAGCACCAGATTTACAGCTATGCTTTACCAGCCAAGTTTAGAAGAAAACTAATATTCATTTAGCTCTGGCCGTTGTTACTAACATTGTACTCAACAAAAAAATCAAAAGAAATCAAAGAAATCACATAGGTCCAATAGTGCCAGAAATATAGGCTTTCAGAAGACCATTGGAGTTGTAAACACACTTTCAGGTCAGTCAAACTTATTTGGAAGAGAGGAGTACAATTGTTACCCAAACTTTGCCATGGTTAATGAAAGATGTATTACCTTTACAGGTTCATTCACTTTGAGTTCTACCTCCAAATAATGTGGTTTTAGA